AGCCGGCCAGCTAACCAATCAGAGCAGACTGGGCTCTGCTTTCAGACAGAGGGTGAAAAGAGGTGCTGCAGCACAGGCAGTATGAGAACAATAAAGAGCTTTTTGAACATTAAAGCATGGAGACATGTAGAGATACTACATACTGATATACAGCTGAACATCAGCAGGAGAGGACTCTTTAAAGTAGAGACACTACAGACTGATATACACCTGAACATCAGCAGGAGAGGACTCTTTAAAGTAGAGACACTACATACTGATATACACCTGAACATCAGCAGGAGAGGACTCTTTAAAGTAGAGACACTACATACTGATATACACCTGAACATCAGCAGGAGAGGACTCTTTAAAGTAGAGACACTACATACTGATATACACCTGAACATCAGCAGGAGAGGACTCTTTAAAGTAGAGACACTACAGACTGATATACACCTGAACATCAGCAGGAGAGGACTCTTTAAAGTAGAGACACTACATACTGATATACACCTGAACATCAGCAGGAGAGGACTCTTTAAAGTAGAGACACTACATACTCATATACACCTGAACATCAGCAGGAGAGGACTCTTTAAAGTAGAGACACTACATACTGATATACACCTGAACATCAGCAGGAGAGGACTCTTTAAAGTAGAGACACTACATACTGATATACACCTGAACATCAGCAGGAGAGAACTCTTTAAAGTAGAGACACTACATACTGATATACACCTGAACATCAGCAGGAGAGGACTCTTTAAAGTAGAGACACTACATACTGATATACACCTGAACATCAGCAGGAGAGGACTCTTTAAAGTAGAGACACTACATACTGATATACACCTGAACATCAGCAGGAGAGGACTCTTTAAAGTAGAGACACTACATACTGATATACACCTGAACATCAGCAGGAGAGCACTCTTTAAAGTAGAGACACTACATACTGATATACACCTGAACATCAGCAGGAGAGGACTCTTTAAAGTAGAGATACTATATACTGATATACACCTGAACATCAGCAGGAGAGGACTCTTTAAAGTAGAGACACTACATACTGATATACACCTGAACATCAGCAGGAGAGGACTCTTTAAAGTACAGACACTACATACTAATATACACCTGAACATCAGCAGGAGAGGACTCTTTAAAGTAGAGATACTATATACTGATATACACCTGAACATCAGCAGGAGAGGACTCTTTAAAGTAGAGACACTACATACTGATATACACCTGAACATCAGCAGGAGAGGACTCTTTAAAGTAGATACACTAAATACTGATATACACCTGAACATCAGCAGGAGAGGACTCTTTAAAGTAGAGACACTACATACTGATATACACCTGAACATCAGCAGGAGAGGACTCTTTAAAGTAGAGACACTACATACTGATATACACCTGAACATCAGCAGGAGAGGACTCTTTAAAGTAGAGACACTACATACTGATATACACCTGAACATCAGCAGGAGAGGACTCTTTAAAGTAGAGACACTACATACTCATATACACCTGAAAATTAGTACAATAGTGTCCCTTTAATTTGTAGAGGGACAATGCAAAAAAAAAAACACAACTTTATATTCATCAAGGAGACATATAGTTGGGTTTTCTGATTATTTATAAGAATAAATACATCTAACAATAGGAACATTTGAAAAGAAAAAATACCGAAGTCAAACCAACTAAAACAAACACCTTCACTACAGAGCTTCTTTGAGTTCCATCGAGAGCTCAGATCTCGTCTTCCCGCAGCCCCAAAACAAACTTTCTCCACCTCCACTTCATCAGCACTTAACTACCTGTTGACCTCTGACCTCTGAAACATGGACCCCGTCCTCATGATAACGCTGAGGCTAAAAACAACAGGGCTAAAATGCTCTCCATTAATGCACAAAGGGCTGCGTTTGTGAACGATGATGGTCATTAAAGCAGCTGTTTTAAGTGGCGGGGGGGGGGGGGGGGGGGGGGGGGGGGGGGGGGGATTTGAGCTAATGGAGGCTTGTTTTGTTAAAAGCCCTCAGGGATCATTTTTATTAAACAATCTGTGAACGAGTCGAGTGCTGCAGTTTAATGTATGTTTCAGAAAGATGACGGAGGCCTGTATGAGCGCGTTAAGAGACATTTGATCCTCTCATTTAGTCTCATATCTTAACATTTTTTTGTATAGACTGGTGCAGGGATGACGTGTTTTTGTGAAGCAACGCTGAACTTAGCATCTCCTTGGTTCCTTCTAAAAAAAGCTAATGGGATTTTTCAGCAGGAAATATTTTGCGTATTAACACCATTTTAGGATTTTTGAAGTAAAAAGCTAACGTTATTTAGGAACTACAGCACGGTCACATGACTTTGTCTCACCACCGCTAAGTTAAGGTGGCTAATGATTACGGTGATAACGTTTAGAAGTCTCATTTTGATGCCATTTTTTTATTCACCAGTGGGGTATTTACTGACGTACTTTAGGTCGTAGAAAAACATTACTTTCTCATCAGCGTGTGTTAATCACAGACCCTATCTAACCCTAATCCATTGATTTTCAGATGAAGGAACACAAACAAAAACAGCTGACCTATTGCATTGCTTTTAAATCATCTCGTTACGCTAATCAGCCAATCAAATCTGTGCGTTTTGATAAGCATTGTTACTCAAGAGTCAGATCCAAACACAGACAAAAGTGAGTCTAAAAAGAGTCAACATAGAGGCAAAACAACGATAGACGATAGATTTATTACAGAAGACATGTTTCAGTCTGCCCACAGAGCCCTGGAGCTAGAGTTTTATTTTAATTTCACACATACAATAACAATTTGCAATCAAAGAATGTTTTCTGCTCAGCAGGAAAACTGTGTGTTGGTGTAATACCTGGAGGACAAGCATAAAGAGGATACCCTCAGTGTGTCTGGGTCTCATACAATCATAAAATTAATGTGTGGTGTCTGGGCTGTGTGGTGTGTGTGTGTGTGTGTGTGTGTGTGTGTGTGTGTGTGTGTGTGTGTGTGTGTGTGTGTGTGTGTGTGTGTGTGTGTGTGTGTGTGTGTGTGTGTGTGTGTGTGTGTGTGTGTGTGTGTGTGTGTGTGTGTGTGTGTGTGTGTGTGTGTGTGTGTGTGTGTGTGTGTGTGTGTGTGTGTGTGTGTGTGTAGCGCCTGTGTGGTACCATCCCATTATAAGCATGCTGGCAGTCAAAACATTTAAAGGCTCCCTGCTTGGTATTTCTGTATGCATTACACTCGTCATCAGACTCGGACATTTTGCACATTCCTCACTTTTCTATGAGGGTTCGTGCCTGGTTTTAGGGTTAAAGATTTAAAGCGAAATTGAGATTATACAGTGGAGGGTGCTAACTCATTATATATAAGGCATCTACAAGCTTGGTGTATGTGTACTTTACTTGAGTATTTCCATTTTCGGCTGCAGTTGTCCCAAGTTCTATTGTTCGTATTTGCATGCATTTTATGAGGAATTGAAATGTTGACATTAATAATAATGATAATAATAGCTTGGATTTATATAGCGCCTTTCGTGAGACCCAAGGTCGCTTTACAAAGAAGAACAGGGGCAAAACAAACATAACGAAACAAAAGGCAGTCAGACAACCAGTCAGACAGACAAAACAACAAATAGATTAAACGTATGTGTGGCTTTGCAGAAACGTTCAATGGCAACATATTTTCTGGTGACTTGGTTGATATGATGGGGTCATTCAGCATAACGACTATACTTTTTGGACTTGTTGTACCTTTACTTAAGTAAGATTTTGAAGGAATGAAACCAAGAGAATGATGTTCAAATACCAAGATGGTGACGCACAAAAGAAAATTGGCAGCGACTCAAAACCAAGATGTTGAGGTCAGAAAACAAAGATGTCTACGACCAAAATACGAGATGGCAAAAGATGGCGACACCCAATAACAAAGATAGTTACCACCTCAAACTGAAGCTCCTTTCCTTATCATCTAGAGAATCCAAACAGCTCTTATCACGGCTGCCTCTTGGGTACTTACGGGTCATTTCCCTCCATTAGGAACCTTCCTATAAGCAAAATGGACAATTCGAACACAACCCAAGATTGTGACGATCAAACCCAACTCAAGGCATCAAAACCATCGTCCACAAACCAAGGTGTTACGTCCATTTCAATGGTTCCTGACCTTTCCCCCGTGCTAAAACGTGGTTAAAAGTGTAATGATAGACCTGCTATACGAGACTAAATCTGCAAAGCTGCAAATGTACACTTGTCCAGATGTTAAATATGCATGTATCTTTCTCAATGGGTTGAGAGCAGAACAAACAGACACTATTTCAGGCATCTAACCCTAACACATTGACTTTGAGAGGAAGAAACAAGAAGTGCTTTTTAAATAATCTCATGTGACGTTCACTTTAATTAATATAGAGGTGAAACAAATGGACTTTTACGTGTTAATTCTTCACAGTGGTTGTTCATGCCTGGTCTAGAAGCTTAGCTAAACTGTTATTTATTGCAGATGAGATGTTTAAGTCTGACCACAGAGCCCTGCAGCTACAGTTTTATTTAACTTCGCACATAAGATAAAGCACTGTAGATAAACACCACAAGAAAAGCAGAACATGTACACATTAGTCAAGGTGTTAAATATTTAATTTAAATGATTAAGTGACTTACTTTCCACTACATCACAAAGCTTCCTTAAGTTTGAACTTCTTAAATCTCAGCTAAAAACTCACCTCTTTGCACTGGCTTTTAATACTAGTCGAACATAACATTTTACATTTCTATGTGTTTTGATATGTTTCTAGTTAATGTGCTTTTTTATCATGTTTTCAATTATTGTTTTATTATTTTACTCCCATTGTGTTATTTTATATTGTATGTATTTCCTGTACTTTGGTCAACTGAGGTTGTTTTAAATGTGCTATATAAATAAAGATTGAGATTGAGTGCATGTATCTTCCTGAAAACGGGTTAAAATCACCCAAAAGACAGCTGGCGTTCAGGATGTGTCTTGACTCACCCGGTTCGGGCTGGGTAGTTGCCTCCATCTCCCAAAGGGGGGGTCTCTGTCACTCCTGGGAGAAGCCTGTCTATGAAGGCAGGGTACACTTCACCTCCTCCTCCTCCTCCTCTTCCTCTTCCTTCTCCTCCTCCCTGCTCCTCTGCGTCCTCGTGGTCTCTTGCTCTCACCTCACAGTGAGCGCTCACCAGTAAGCCCAGCACCAGCACCAGTTCTCCCACTGCAGTCATGTCGGCTCCACATCAGCGAGTGCAGGGGAGCACCACCAGCAGCTGCATTTAAACAGGAGGAAGAGGGGGGGGGGGGGGATAGGGGAGGCCACTCCTCCTGCTTCCTCTGCCACCCCCTCTCTCTCAACAGACTTCTTCTCTGACTGCTTTGTATTTGTAATAACACAACCCCAGGAGGATAAAGTATCATCATTGAAGTATTACACATCGCTGCTGTGCAAAAATCGACACTTTAGTCTGTTCCCAAAAGGCAAACAGGAAGAGATATTTTCAGAGATAGCCAGATAGTGTTAATCTATTCTGAAAGAGCACTTTATTTAACTTCTGCTGGGTCCAGGCGAGTGAAAACTGTATCAGCCAAAGTGTGACTTTTGATCCATACCCTGTGAAATGAAACTTCCCAAGTTTATTAACCACATTTTATATGACAAGTGTTGAAAAGTTAGGTTTAAAATGCAAATGAAGACCTTCTCTTGTTGAATGTGTGCTAAGAACATGCCAGAACAGAAATGTGAAAATTGAATAAAGCCAGGTAAAAATTCTTGTTTCATTTCCATTTAGTCACAGGTTTTTATAAAGAAGATTCTCTTTGCATCACTCCACGAATCAAAACATATGTAAAAAGCCATACAAATATAAATGTCCTCCATCTTGCTCCATAAAGGGTGTAAAAACCTGTTACTTATTAAAGTACAAAAGTATTAGCAGAGACATATTATTGAAGTAGCAAAAGGAAAAGTACTCTTTCATATTGTTATATAATTAATATGTTCATCACTTTAATGTTGTGTCTGGAAAAGAAGGATATCATTGTAATTACTTTATTTATACTACTGGTTAGATTTTATCTGTAAGAATACGTCGTAATTTATTCGTTGATTTACATTGTGTATTAATCATCTGAATCTAAAAAAAAACGATATTAGTAAAATATTTGAGTGTAAATGAGGTGACACAGGTTTCACTTCTCTCGCCGTCTGTCTTCATTCTGTTTCTGTGGAAGTGATAAGAACAGAGGACATCCAGGAGGTGTGTGTGTGTGTGTGTGTTACCAAATGTTGTTCATAACTTTAGATATTGAACAATGAAAAGTTCAGAGATACCAATGCATTTTGATTAAGGGAATTTGAGATCTTGGGAGGCTGTGGCGCAGTGGAATAGTGCGTTGGTGTTCGGATCAGGTTCAAACCCAACTGCAGTCAGCTTGTCGTTGTGTCCCTGAGACACTTCACCCCAAATTGCTCCTGTGGGGGATTATCCACAGCATTGAGCTTCTAGTCGCTTTGGATAAAAGCGTCTAACATCTGACATGTAATGTAACTTGGGATCTTATAATAATTTTGTATCTTAATCATAACATTTCGTTTTTGGCTCCATGGATCACCATTGGGTAAGGCAAGGCAAGTTTATTTATATAGCACTTTTCAACACAAGGCAATTCATAGTGCTTTACAAAAAAATGAAAGACATTAAGAGTGTTGGGTGTCAGTTCTTGCCAAGTTTGGACACCCCTGTATGAGCTTATTCTTAATGAACTTGCCAAGTTAATTCGTTTCAAACCATTTGTTCGAAACTGGATTACCTTTTGGGCTTGGAGTTCATTCATTCTTGACATTTTAGTGACACACTTGACATTTTTATTCCAAAGGTCGGAAGACAGTCAAACTTATATCCATTCATCTGTACACCTGTTACTTCCATATTTATACATGATCTAATTATAGAGTATTTATTTTACTTTAGAGTATTTCATTTCACATTCTGTCTTTGTTATTCGATTTGATATATTTTCTTATTTCTTCAGCTTGTTTGCTCCATTAGGGTCTTTTGTTTTATGCATTCTGTATTTTTTTGTTAGATATATTATGTTGCTAGTGATGTTACGTTCACGAACGATCCGATTATTTTGAACGGCTCTTTGGTACGAATGAAGGGAACCGAGTAGAACTTGGTGAGAGCCGTAATTCCCATCACTACATGTTGCATTGTTGGATGAGTTTTGGACTGCTTTGCCAAAGACACACTGTAACTATTATACATGTAACAATAAAGCCTTTGAATGTTAATACATGTAGAAACAAGACTGAAGCTTATTGGTAACAGGTGTCTCAGTCCTGGCGAGATGTCTCACTCGGACATTTCTATTCCGTCCCTCGTTGTTTTCATTTGAATAATCACAGCATTTGAACGGATTAAAGTAATTTTAAGTGACCTGAAGGAGAGCGTAGCGAGGGAGGCTGGCAGTTCCTGTGCAGGCTGAGAGAGCCGAGACTTTTCCACAGGGAGAGGGGGGGTTGGGTGGTGGTCATTTCCGAGGATTGTTTTAAAGTTATGAGGAGGTGGCGGAGGAGGAGGGGGAGGTAGAAATGTGTGACAGAGAAAGAGAGAGTGTAGAAAGAGAGCAATGTCAAAGACACCACTGGAAATGAGTCAGCTTTCAAGCACTTTTGATTTCCTTGTCTTGATTCAATGTGGCTTTTTTAATGGGATTTTGGTTACAAAATATGGCTAACACAAGCTGAAGAACAAGCTTTTACCTGTCATAAAATGTCTAAATGAGAATACTTTACGTCATCACACAAACCTTAGCCACCTTTAGCTTAGCAGCAGTGAGGTGCTGTCATGTGACCGTGATGTAGTTATTATATATCCTAACGTAAGCTTTTGTACTCAATCTAAACCATAAAAGCTGTTCATTTGTAGAGATTATCTTGCTGAAGAATACATAAAAGTTTCATAAATGTTTTGTGAATGATATGTGATTATGTGATATGTGATAAAAACAGAGAAGTAATTTTCATCAACATTGATCTCTTATAACGTAATAATATGATGAGTTGTGTGTCTTTATCCCTCAGGATTATAAAAGACCCCCATCACCCCAGCCACAAACTGTTCTGTCTGCTGCCGTCTGGCAGGCGTTACCGCAGCATCCGGACTAATACCACCAGACACAGAGACAGCTTCATCCCGCAGCTGAAAACAACTGAACTGCTGAAACAATTTCATAACATTCATCTGCTACTTAGTAATTATGTATCTATTATCTAATATATCATTCCAATAACTTGTATATAGACTCGTATTGCACTATTCCACTTTTTTTTCTCCTCACTTTTCTTTAGAATTATTTTTCTTTTGTATTACTTTTAGTATAATATACTTTAATATTGCTTTAATATTGTCTGCTTATCTGTATTATTGTGTTGCATTGTTGGAGAAGCCTGTGACCTAAGATTTTCAACGACATAATTACTCTGTAGCTATGTTAGTTTGACAATAAAGAACCTTGAACCCTTTAAGAAGAAAAAACGGAATCACATTCATCAATTTCTTCTTGACAAGTGATTGACAACATGTTAACATTTAACTGTACTGCTATACAAAGGTGTGTCACAGTTAAACAAATTAGTTAACTACAGATACACAAACGGACCATCCCGGGTTAACACTCCTTACGATCACCTGTATGTATACACATCAGACTAAAGACACTCACTGTATAAATTATCCGAATCTGCCCATGGCAAGCAAAGAGGGCCAAAACAAAGGAAGCAGCGACCCCACAAAAAGAAAGAGACATTAGAGAAGATGCTCAAAAGGACCTGGGCACACCGTACAGCTGTCTAAAAGAATACTAAAGATATCATGACTATATTTAGTGTGTTGTCTCTTTTGTCTCCATTCGGCAACCTTGAAAGGCGCCTATATCAATCAAATGCATTGTTATTATTCATTAGCTACTGTGTAAAGGTAAAAATACAGCTCTAATCTAAATTTCACTTTACAGAAGAGCTCTATAAGGACTGTAAATCGATTACTTTGAATCACCAACGCACAATTCAGGAGTCCAATGAATGAATGGGTGGTGGAGCAGGGTTAGGGTTGCTTCGTTATTAACAGCAGCTGGACGTAACAACTCCTGCTAGCTCCTGCTCGCCCAACCTGGAATACCTGATGATCAAATGTCGACTCTTCTATCTACCCCGGTAATTTACCCTGGTGATCTTTTAACGGCTGCTGGTATTCCATCAACGACCCATGGTCCAAACTACTAGGAGTTTTAAGCAAATAGGCTCATCATGGTTTGATAGCAATACCTTACTTTTATGAACCCTAGTCCAACTAAAGGGGGACTTTGATCTACTGTTATTCCCTGATAAGAATTACTACAGAGCAATTTCCCAACCACCATTTTGGGAAATCAGACATGGCCAACAATTACCTCCAAACATTTGGTCTACCTACGCTGTAAAATGTATTATCTCTTCGATTTACACACGGCATCCATTGCACGTCTGTCCGTCCTGGGAGAGGGATCCCTCCTCTGTTGCTCTCCCTGAGGTTTCTCCCATGTTCCCCTTTAAACTGTGGGTTTTTCTCCGGAAGCTTTTCCTTGTACGATGTGAGGGTCTAAGGACAGAGGATGTCGTATTGTCACACTGATATTCTGTACAAACTGTGAAGTCCACTGAGACAAATGTAACATTTGTGATATTGGGCTATATAAATAAACATTGATTGATTGATAATAACTATCTCCAACTTTACCGGCTGTGACACAATAACGCATTAATAGGTATAATTAAGCCCATTTCAATATATGGTTTTGAAATGGGCCATCATGCATAACAAGTACTGGTGATTATACTTGATTGACAGAGAATCCCTCAGAAAGACACACGTTTTTAACAAAGTTTAATTCAAACAAACCACCAACTATAGATTCATTTTATTACTCCACTCTAAGCTGTGATCATTATTTCTTGCATTATTGCATCTTGTAGGAAAAGGTTGTGTTGACATGTTTGACAGGAAGTTATGATTAGCAATGGAGTCTTTGTATTTGTATATCACGTACTTGTCCTATATCATGACACGCTATTGAATCATTGTCCAGCTTTATTGCACATACATGTAAATGATGCATATTGTTCGGTAATACATAATATTTGATTCGTCCTTGTGCTTAAGTATCTGTATATTCCAATGAAAGCACATTTCAC